TGGGGGAGCTGGGGGTGGGGGGGAGGAAAAGACACAATCGAGAGTAGCTGAGACTTTGTGCCCCCGTTGGAGAGATGGTTGAGTCCTCGTCAAGGTTGCTGTGGTATCCCAGAAACACCATTCACTCTGAGCTGTGACCGCGCACCATCAACAGCAACAACTCCGCTGCGCCTGGCCAAGGAATAGGAATTAGGAGCTCGCAAGAATAATATGAAAGGGATCTGCAAAGGGGAAATCCGTGCAAAGGAACCGAAATTAGCAGACTTTTGGGAAAGGGGATGTACTAAATGTGGCCGGCTGGACTTCATCCTGGTGAAGAAAATGGAGATTAAAAGTGGATTTACATTTTGGAACCTCGTCTTTTTATTGATGATTTCGTGTGTGAAAGGTAGGGTAGTATTTGAGGGGTGTATTTTTAGGGGTCCCTTTGCTTTCGGTCGGGGCGTTGCAAGCTCTCACCCTATGCATGGGTTTATTTAAAAAATGTATTTCTCTATTATTTTATATTTGTACCGTGAGTACTTTGCAATGGGAAGAAACAAATGATGGTTAAGCGGGGAGGAAAGAAGGAGTTGGTTCAGAGCTCTCTTCTGAGATGGGAAATGTATTTGCTTGCCAGGCTTGGCGTTCAATGCAGTGACTGAGCCGGGGCTCAATAAATATTCTTGCAGTATGCTCAAACGGATACGTGAGTTGGTTCATATAGCCTCTAACTAGTGTATATTCAAGCAAATCCCATCGGGTGACTTTTCTGAGGTGATGCTGGTGGTAGTGGGGGGGGGGGATTACCTACATTTCTGTTTTTCGGCCGAGCAAACAGCTCTTTGCCGGAATGCCTGTATCGATGCACTTATCCGTTTAACCCGTTCCCAAAGGAAAGTTGGAAGGGAGATGAGCGTGTGCGTGGTCGTCTCACAGCCCGAAATGCGCTTCCCCGCTCAGCTGTTTGCATGCATGCAGGGCTCCTTGGCTGTGGGAAAGGCATGGTAGCAATTCAGCCTTGAAGGCATGGTCTACCGCTGAGTGCAACGATCGACACCGTTTCCCTTCCTTCCTTTGACACCCTTCCCCAATCTCCTTGTTGTGTGGGTTGGTGGGTTTTGTGTTTTAGTTGATGTTTGGGTTTGGGTTTTTTTTTTCGGGGCGGGGGGAACTTGCTTTCTTTCTGCTTCTGTGCTCATGATGAAAGGAGGGCAAAAAGGAAACCTCTAGTTAGCGGCACAAATAGCTTCACGAAGTCTATACTTGCAGATAGTTAAGGGAAATGTTACACATAGAGAAAAGAAGAAATATGTATCTTGCATACTGTGCACCTCCAATATTACATAGGGATCGCTAAATGGTGAAGTGCCGATCACATCAAGCATGCCTTCAATGAAGGGATCTATTCTGCAACTCCATACAGGCGCTTGGCTACCCGAAATAATCTCCCCTTGTTTGCGGCCAGTGATTAATATCTGATTAATCATCCCTTTATCCCCCTCTTCATCCTCATCCCTCCTCCCTACCTCACTCGCACACTCCCAGAATATTTAGTAGACCTTATCGATCCTCTCCGAGTTTTTAGACTTGGTTAGCGCCCACAGAGGCTGCCTGCACGGCTGGGAAGGAGGTGTGTGGCGGGGGGCTGGGGGGGGGCATTCAAAG